ACATCTGGCTGTTTAAACGTTAGAAAGCAAAGCTACGAAGTAAACTGAAATCACGAATAATACTTTCTGAAATTAACATTGAAGAGTACTAATTTCATTGTATATTTGTATAGTACTAATATGATTAAATATTTTATGCAAAATACTTAACAACTACAACATAATAACAAATACTGTAAAATATTATATTTCAAAAACAACTTTATAATAACACATTTGTCACATATAATTAACTATATATTTAATGTTTATCACTTAACATTTGCTAAACGTTCAATTATTTTATAAAAGTTTCCATTTTACTTGTGTTTGTTAGAGAGAGATTTTATATGAAAATGAGATAATCTCACATACGTATCAAATAAAAATTAGAGTAAGAAAGAAATTAGGAAGATTTTGATCGCATAATTAAATGGTGTTACGCGAGTCTCCTTGTGCGGATACGTGCAAGAAAAAGGGGAAAACTTCTAGAATGACTTTGTGGAGTTCCAGAAGAGAATTTGTACCTAATAAACGTCAGGGAGAAAGTGAATATATAGGGAGGAAACCGCTCAATATTAGGAAGGAAAATGCTGTAACGAATGTGTAAATCCACGAAACAAGAACAAATCTACCACGTCTGATTGAGTTTTAATCTTAATTAACTTTTCTTTGGTACACAAAATAATTTTTATATATTATATAGGAATATTATATAATAGGTCGTAAATAAATTTCTATTTCTTCATATCTGGCTGAACATTCACCAACTAAAAAGAAATAAAAACTTATGCGAAAGTTTCCTTCTAATATTCACAACGATTATGGTTCTTTTCTTCTATAAAACTATTATTATTGTTAATTTTAATTATATAATATTATTTTTCATGAAACATTGAATGCTGATGCTCCCATAGAATTTGCCAAATATTTAAGATTAAATAGCTAATTATACAATGACAAATGTAAGAGATTAAACGTAGTTAAAATTAGGTGCGCGTTAGACGCGAGAACAAAAAATCCACTTAAATTGCATGAAAGCAAAGTCTCATCAAGCAGATCTTCAATGTTAATTACAAAAAGGCGTGACACAGAAATGGAGGCTATTTCGGCATGAGCGAGCAGTGAATTAAGTCCACTCATGAGCAAACGTGGAAAAGGCGGATCCTCTCTCTCGAAAGGACGATATCCTAGTGCACAAGAATGTGTCCTAGGTCCTGGATACAATGCGTAAAATTAAGCCAAGCGGATAATCTTAATTTATGGAAATCCACGATGCGCAGACATAAATCAGCATATGCAAACACTTAGAAAAATTTTGCAACCGCAAAAATGCACAATGTGCGTTTTTAAAAAGTATTTTTCTAATTACAAAGAACTTTTTTTCCCCCCTTTTCATTTTCCAAGTACGGCGAAAAAATTAGAATCACACAATGTACAGCTGCATGTACAATACAGCTGTCAAGAAATAACTTTGTAGATATTTAAAAAAAACTCACTGATTTTTCTCATTTAGACCTATATTTTCTTATCACTGGCAATGCAATCTCAATAGCAATGCAACATCTTTTCATTGAGTAAAGATTATATTTTTAGAAGATAGTTGAATCGTTTGTTTAATGTGCATGCATAAGATCTGTTATATATAAGTTACATATAAGTAATAAGTAACAATATACAATACATTATATATAACACAGGTCTGCATAGAAACACCTGCCTCTTAATGTATGTATTATAATCAATACTGATTAAGATTAATTTATCAGAATTTATTTGAAATGTTCCGCTTTTAGCTATAATAATCAAGTATAGCGGTTATTTTTTTATAAATTCATAACCACACAATTATGTATCAATTAAAAAGAAATACTATAATATAGATATATGGTCACACGTGTTTGAAAAATTAGTCTTTAGTTTATACAAATTTTAATTAGAATTTAACTTGTCATGATTTCTGAACAAGGTGTTTCGTATTTTTATTAATATATTCCAAATATAAATAAAATGGAGTTTACAAAAGTTAACTAATTTTTAGAATTATCCTTCTAAGTCGTCTCTCTAATTTGAAGTAAAAAAATACTTCTGTCTCTTATGCAAACCATCATTCCCGCCAGTTTTTGGGCTATTAAAAGAATTAGCGACCTCTCGAAGCTCAGCTTCCTTGGTCGGCAATTACGTGTACGACGTTCGTGGGAGGAGTTCCTGTTAAAGGAAGTAGGTACTCTCGCAGGACTAGTCTCGCGTTGATAATAGGACTTTTCAATAGAACCCTTAATGATTATTCTTCATTATTCCGATCCGTTTCATTTGTCCTTCTCTCATCTTCAATTTCGATTTCCCTCCGCATCATCAATAAATTTTATCTGATCTGTTAGAAATTCCACTTTCTCCTTTTCATACTAATCAAACTGCATGAAATTAGTGATATCATTCTTTAACCATAGATACTTTTCAGTTATCAAAATTGAAGTTAAATTTATGTAATTATTATTGATAATTATCATTCAATTTAATTAAACAAAAAAAATTTTCATACATATAATAAAATATTGTTTAACAAATAAAATGTTTCAATATAAATTATTTATTTATTTATTTTGTAGATATTCATGTAACAAATAAGCTTCTTTAATTAACTCTAATTGTTAAAATATAATTACATAACAATTAAAACTTATTAGTTTTTAAAATTCAATTCAGATTTAATTTATTACAAAAATACGAATAGACAGTACGAGAATGTAATTTACATTTTTTACAAGGATCAATAATAAAATAAAATTAGGATATGTATTTTGTTGAATAAATATTCATATTCACGGGAAGCATTTACTTCTTTCTAAAGTCTTTTAAAACATGTATGCTAAAATATTCATTGTTCCTTAAAAATCTGCAAACAGCGAAGCTAAATTCGATATGCTCCATATGAAATTTCGCCCATCTCTCAGTTATGATTGAAAATTCTCCTTTTCCGTTTCTCTTTTCCTATGCCTACAAAATAGGCGACTAATATCAAAAATTCCAGTTCTACTCATCGTACTATTAAACTGTAAGCTTTTTACAATATCTCACTTTTATGAATAAGAATGCAGTCCACGCGAAGCAGAAATTTGAGGACGGCACAACTTCCTCCGGAAAGGCTTTCGAAAGTTCACCTAAACCCTTTTAAAACTTCAAGGTCTACCCTCGAACACCTCTTTTGCACTTCCCTCTTTCCGAAATCCCCAGTGGAACTTAAATTCAAATCTCGGTTGCACATCATGTTCTCATACAGAGCAGCTTAGTATTTTTTAATTAGGTTAATAGGCCCAAACCAAACTAAGATATATATTTACGAATTTGCTCTTCTACGTTGCTAACAATAAATATGTATAATATTGCAGGTTTAATAATCATTTTCATAAGTTATAAAATCATTTCACAACAAAAGCAATCGTCCTAAATAAAATTAGTTTAACCATTTTACTCTTTGAGAGTAGAAATATACGTATTTATTGTTCTATCCTTCCTCTCTCATATAAATCTTTTGAAATCAATATTGTTTCCAAGACATTGGTTTTCATATAGATGGTAAGACACGTCTAAAACATGTATATAGAAGTCACGATGGATGTTAATTAATATACGTATGAGAATATCCTCGTTTCATGCGGATCCTTGATGACTAAATACCGCGTTAATACCTCGAGCGCAATGTGGATTGCGATTGCACAATCTATAGCATTCAAATCTCGAAGCTCTAGGCGGCTTAGACCCATACATTTGCTGCCAATCAACCGCTGTCGGTTACCATATCGACAATTCCACGACATATAATACATATGTATATGAGATGTCGCTACAGTATTAAATTTTCTACAGTTATTTTGAGGGCAAAGCACCTTTGTGAAATATCGTTCTAAAATATATTCAATAGCTATCTCCTTTTCGAAGTAATTAATTATGTCCTTTTAGATACGGCAAAAATCTCAGGAAACGAGAATAGATTCATATGACGATTGTGGAAGCAGCACTCTGCTCCGCTTTTGTGCGAACAAGTCCTTAGCCGCAGCCCGATTCGAGAGTTGCTCTGACCACGGTAACGCGTTCGTTTGCTAGAACATCATTTTTCATCCGTCGTCTCTCATCTGGAGCCCCGACTATGATTTATCGCGCCGCCACATCGTCGAAAAACTTGCTAATGCGTGCCGCGCAACGGCAGGATGAAGATGCACTGCCGTTTTCGCAGCACGAGAAATCCCGCAAGTATCGACAGGGTTTTCACCGAGCGCGTTAGTGGAAATTAATCTCAGCTTCGTCGCCAACCGCGCTTTTTCTCGGGTTTTGCACCATAAAAATTTGCAAGAACGTTCCACCAAGGAATAATATTTAATCTGCTATTTCAATACTAGCTTTATATGTAAAATTATTCACTGTCTAGTGCACCTACTATGTGTACCTTGTACATTGATAGATTGAAAGCGCTATCCGAAATTCGTTAAATATTGTTGTTCAATTAAAACTTTTTCTGACATATGATAAACTTTAGAAATCGACGAAACGCAGCAATATCAGAAAGTACATTTAAAACTATATAAAATTTGATTATTTGATAATTAAGATTTAAAGTAGTTCAATCGCGTTTAATTGATACATTTGTTTTATTCCGTATAAATTTTATGTCAACGAAATATAATTATTACATCATTACATTTGATCTTGGAAATTAAAAATATGACTTCTGATATAAAGAAATACTTTTCTAAAAAAAGTTCTAGATTTATATTAAAAGCTATTAAAGGATCAATAATACTCTATTTCAGAAAAATACAATTCAATTCACGCCAAATTGTAGAAGAAGGTAATAAATGTGTTTAAACGAAAAAATATTGATTATATTCCCTCGTCACAAGTCGATGAAAAATTATTAGAAAGTGCAAAAGATCTATTTGTCGCAATATTCAAAGACTTCTGCTTCAATATCAGATTCGCAATTTAAAATATACGCACTAATTGTAAGATGCAAAGCAACTCACCAACTGGACACCGTTGTCTCCAAGAAGCGCTGGCAGTCATCGCGTTTCTTGGCACAGAAATTGATGCAGTTGCTTAATCTGCAACATAAACAGTGACCAGGAATGAAATACTTGCACATATTAAAACGTAATTTGTGACCGCGACTGTTAGATACGTCATTTGATCATTGTTCGATTAGAGGGCCATTGGGGTTTGCCTGCTGCACCGTACAAACTTTGGCACGTGTTGCACCGAAAGTTGGCGCCGTTTAACCATCGATAAAATCTCAATTATAGTCCTTGACGTATCGCGTAAGAAGCCGGTATCTATAACTGGCATCGTATATACACGACCGCCTAATATTAATGTACCCGGATAGTATTACACCCCTGCACTGATATGTTTCATATTGACATATCAGCAATAAATTTAAGAACTTTATTATAATCACGAAAGCTGTGCAATTTATCATCTGCAGTGAAACGTATTTTATATTGTGACAGAAGTATATTAACAATACATTACTTTTAAGTAAAATTATGTTGTTAGTTTTATATCACATTAAGTTATACATTTATTTATAATATCATTAATACGCGCAAAATATTTTATTTATTTACCAATATAAACATTTAATTATGAACTTCTTTCTCTCCATTGCTAAAAATAATGTATGTTCTTAGACTATTATTATCCATGCGATTTCTAAAGTGTGTTTCGAAGTAATGTATCATTCATTCAGTGGAGTCACCAAAAGTAATAATAAACATTTTAATAGATATAGATAAAAGATGAATAATCCAAGAACAGATTATGTACTGAATCGTGTGCAGAATAATATAAAGAAATAAACCGTTCCAATTTATCATTCTGCGTGAGATTGCGTCGGAAATCCTTTAATGGATCGATAAAATCTCAATTGTATAGTGAGATGTATAAAGGTCGACCCTGCTCCACACATCGCGTCAGCATAAAAGAAACGTAGACGTGTAATAGGCGTATATAAAGCTGTACCACTGTAGGATCTAGATTATTATCTAACGGACTCATTGGCTACCGGCGCGACCGTTAGAATTTCGCGTCAGATATGCGAGATGGATCGCGGTATCTCGTGTTAGTTTTAATTGAAGCTCCCACATAAAGGAACAGAGCTATGGTTTATCTACCGCGGGGAGCCAAATATGTTCCGCGAAAAACGGAAAACAGGATTACCTCCTCCTCCTCTCATCCAGGCAAGATCCGCGCACGCTATCTACGAATTATCTGAAAGGACATTTCCATAGAATACAAACTCATCACTGAAAGCTCCGAATGACAGAAAGAAGCTGCATTATATGCAACAAACAAAATTAATTGTCTCTTTGTTTGTTAAACTGCGGACGATAAATTAGCACAACTGCGAATAAAAACTAAACGTTACATCGTAAGTGACACATAAACTTACATCGCAAAATTTTAGAGGAAAATAAGCATAAAAAATTCCCAGCAAATACTCGCAATAAATAATTTACAATAATTTGTTTATTACATACCTATATTAAGTAAATCATAATTTTCTAACACACACACACAGATATTTTGATAAAAATAACTAGACAAGTATTTTTGGTAAAACTACACGGGAAAAAAGTGCTGTTGAATTAAGCAAAATAAAGTTGCTTGAATTAAACGTTAACGTCACGGGCTGCCACAAACATAAATAATTCACTCAATTGTATTTGCTGTGGATTTTAATTTTAAGCATTGAACTAAATATCCAGATTATTAAGACAACAATCCGATGTTTTTCATTTATTAATACTGATGTTGTTTCAACAATTTTATTTCAATTACACAGATCTTGTTGACACAACATCATTTTATCCCGTGTACTATTAATTTTAACTCGTTTTATTACAAATGCAACTCAAAAGTATAAAGAAAAGTCCCCTATTATGAGATAGACTTCTAATATGAGATAGAATTTTAACATCCATATAAAATCATTACCTTCTTTTCGCGGCAATTACACAATCTAACAATGAGTTTTCCACTAAATAGATCTCACTCTGTAAGGGCAATAAATTCATGGTGGAACCAACAGAGGATGCCTATTAATTTAGTAGAAACCCCGCTGTCTCATATTAGGAGCTTGTCTCGTAATAGGGGACTTTCCTCTGTATAGGTATAACTTATATAGGGTTGCATCATTCTTACAATTAGTCTCATTAATTACGGAAGATGACATGTAAAATGAAAAAGGTAAAGTGGACTCGTCTTAATTGAAGAGCACTGCAAACTGCTACGAGAGAGAGCAGCATCTTTCATTATCAATGTAACCGCGAGAAAAGTTTTAAAACCTTCTTACTTTCGTTCTTCATTTCCTCACAACTGTCTTAAAGAAAAATATCACAGAAAGATTTTTATATTTTATGTACTTTACAAGTCACTAATTATTTTTAACGTTAGATTCTCTCTTTATTTCTCTTAAAAATATTTATAACAAACTTTTTATGCATGTAAATTTATGTTCTAATTAAAATTGCAAGGGAATCAGTTATGTATGACTATTTCCATCAGAGTAAAACAACGTTTGTACAATTACAAAAATCAATTTACGCGCAAAACATCAACTGTTTTCTTTTATACTTCCAGCATGCTGTAATTGCATTTTTTTCAGTGTAAAAACAAAACTAATACGATCAATTACCACGAAATCCTTTAATTATTCGCAATTGGAATTATTCAAATATCGGAAACTATTCACAAATCGCTGTTTATAATACGCCAAATTATTACTCTTGACATAGTATATAAAGTATACGTATATGTATACTATGTATATACATTTATATGGATACTATGCACGTATAAATTAATTAAGAGGTAAAATAAACCATCATTACGCCGCCAACATAATTCGCGCGGTATATAATGGTGCATCGAGATACTCCCGTAAGATAAAATATATGCTCAACTCTTTCGCGGTCACTAAATACTGTATAAAGAGAGCTACAAATTTTTCATGCCAGATAAAATTCTCGAATTCGTATACATCAAGAAATACGCGAGAACAATAAATAACGCGCGAGAAAATATCACGTTGCGATTTCAGAAATCAATTACCTACCACACCGTCCGTGCAATATGTATTTCTCCGATTCCGTTAAATATTTCCGTATTTCGAAAGATTGATGAAGATTCATGGCCTGTCACGCAGTCTAATAATAAATTCTTCACCCATCAGATTCACTGCGGATAAGAATTCGCATTCACAAAAAAAGTTCTACAACTTTTCCCCATATTTACCTTTTAAGGACAAATCTGTCACTAAAATCGATTAGAAATTAATGAAAATGAACTGCATAGATATTCTGCGTGCAGAAAATCTTGCATTCGAAAATATATATGAAGCAAAAGTCACACTTCAAAAGATGTCGAATGAATTGAAAAGGTTGAAGGGGAGAAATTTGAAAAGCCACTTCACCTGAAGAGGAGAATGGTCTTATCGAGTATGGAAAATCCATAAAGAAATAGATTCTTATAAGTTTTATTTATCTTCTGTAATTCATGATCTTCCGATGCAGATTGTTCATTAACCACACCGTTGTTTCGCTTTCTATTAATCGCTTATATAGATATATGTATGTATGTATAATACGGACGCTTAGGTGCTTGAGAGCCGTTTGTTACACTCGTTCGAGGTGGCAACGCCTTGGGCTGTTGGACCCTGAGCCACGTCGAGGATTGAAAATCCTTTGTTGTGGTGGCGAGGTGACAACGCTTAGGGGATACTGTCCCTGAGTCACACGCGACTTGGACCTTGTTGTTATCGAGAGAGTACTCTTTTTCCTAATCCCGAAGCTAGCTTATCGTCCACTGCTTGCTTCCATATCTCAGAGACTGGCTGCGTGGTCTCGCGGACTCGTTCTTATCTCTCTCCTTCCTCTCGCTTTGCCTATTAGACATCTTACATCGCGTGATCCTACTGGCGTGATCCTACTGACTCCTGATTCGCGAATCCGTGGGCGTTCACGTATCCCTTTCATGACGCCGCGTGTCCAAGTCGTGCTGCCATGAAAAACGTTTCCGTGTTCTATTTAGTCGTGCACGACTATCGCATACGCATTTAGATGGCCATAACAACGTGCCTAGTAAAGTTTCAGATAACTTCTTTTCACATTTCAAGGAGAGGAAGGTCGCAATTTGCGCATCGCGCGTTTATGTTAGCCTCGTTAGTGAGTTATAACCGGTAGCTGCCGCGTGGAAGTAATTACTGCCTCTTCTCGGGAGTGCGGCGACTATTAATCGTCGCTACTGCTTATCATAATTAATTGCGGCGTATAACGAGCAGAAGCGCCGCGCCGAAATCCGCGGCCCGACAACATCAGGAGTTCTCACGAAATCCAGCTCGCGCGATATTCAATAGCATGCAAGCCGTGGTGGGCCGCGGATTTATTGTCGCTCTGGCGCCGAGCGTTTATCCGGGATGGGTGGCGTTTTAACGGGCTCGATATTTAACGGGCGTCGCCGATAATATTTCTCGCCGTTCACTCGTTGGCGGTGGCGGAGCAGCTAGTCGGTGGAGGCCAGAAAAAAAGGACAGACACAGGAAGAGGGCGGGGGAGATAGCTCCCACAGGACAGATCAGACCGATAAACCGCGTTAATAATGATAATCAGTTCGTAAAGATGGGTGGAGTTACAGCGATAATATCGTGGAGAGCCGCCAGTTTTATTATCTCACAGATTTTCGCGATAGATAGAGACAGGTGTTGTTCCGCATTCCGACGGAATATTAATATTGGAAATAATTTTATCAACTATATAACACATCGAGAGAAAAAACTAATTAAATATGGGATATAAGAAGACAGCTTTTTACATATGCCGTTGCAGATTTAAATCATAATACAATACTTTTTAAAGGACTTTTGAAACATTATCCAAAAGGCAAGTTTTTTTTTTTAAATCTTTCAATCTTGAAAAGTTTCATTCAAAAATTGCTAGAAATTTTTCACTTTTGTATTTATTTTGTAATTATATGTATCTTTTATTTATATGTTAATTAGAAAACTTTATAAAATATATAATTAATGATAAAACTTTGAAAACGAACC